TATATATATATATATATATATATATATATATATATATATATATATATATATATATAATGTATATAAACATATGAAAAATCGATGTGGGTACTTGAATGAAAGGTCTCGATGAGGGTAACATCGGGATGAGCTTATATCTTTAAAAACGTCAATAGTTATCAAGATACAAGTTAATTTCTAAATTATGTATCTAGAGATAGAACATTTTGTGAAAATTATATGAAACCTTGAAAAGGCACAAATTTAAATCAAGACCTTTGCAATTACACTAAATTTCACTACAAAAAAAAATCGATTTTATTATATAACTATCCTGGACACAGAATTTTTCTTATTCTCTTAATAATATAGATGATTAAAATCATTTTTTAATTATAAAAATCTTACCATGCACGGATTTACTGTAAGAGGACTTTTTACAAAGTCTAATTGAATTAAAGAACATTCTTGATTAACTACATCTTCATTATTTTCTTGATTAATTGTATTATTTGGAGATTCTCTAAGCATCCATAATTGATAACCTTCAGCTGACCATTCCTGAATAATAAAAAAAAAAAAAATAAATTACCATAACAAAATTAATTATAGACTTATTTAATTATATTAAAAATAATAATAATAATACCATTGTATGAACACGCAGTGGATTATCACGAGTTAAATCAACATGTAAGCCATAATCCCATTTTAAAGTACAAAGTAAAAGTGCTCCGAATGTACTCCAAATAGCCAAACCTCCAGTGTCCCAAGCTAAAGCAATAGCGCAGCTATCAGGTGTCCATCTGAGGCACTTGACATTCCCCGGTCTTCCTGGATAATCTTTTGAAGACAAACTGAGCGTGTGAGACACTTCAAGACCTCCTGTTGTCTCATCAACATAGTAAACAACTCCTTGAGAATTTTTACGTCCAAATGCAATCAAACGATATTTGTGATTAACAGCAGCACATGTTGCATCATCTAGATCTTTGGCATAAATACCCTGTACTTGATTTGGATCGAATTTCAACGACTGGGCTGTTAAGAAAGCAGCTTTTCCATTACTTAAAACGATTGCGAAACCTCCAACTAATGGAGAATATTCAATATCTGTTACATAAATATTATTATCGGTTATTGGCACAGCAACTGTTGAAATTTGTTGATCAACACTAAAAGGAACTCTTTTTAGGTCTAATGAGTAGTCACGATTTACAGAACCTTCCCAGCGCTGTCTTATTATTATACTCGTTTTTGTGGCGACCATTAGCTCATCTCTGATACATACTAATGAACTTATTCCACCGTCTATCCACACGGGGATGACAAATGTTAGTACTAAGGATGGAATTACTTCTTTTATAAAAAGCTCTGCGCTGTCACGGCGCAAACTAGACACTGGGGAATCTTTTTGCTCATATAGACCATGATTATCTCCTCCACTGTCGGATAATCGGTAGAATAATAAATAACTTTCTGTTGTCTGGAAATTAATAGAATATTAATTAAATTAATAGAATTTTTATCAATAATTATTTTAAGACATCTGATATTTTTATGAAAATCAAGTTAGCCGTCATTTAAAAATTAAAAATATTTTTTTTATTGAAAAAATCACTACAAAAAATAAGAAAAAAAAATTGTCATTTGTTAAAAACTTGAAAAACTGTAAGTGCAATTTTTTTTAAATATTTTTTTGTTCTAATTTAGTTATTAAAAAAAAAATTAAAAACCTCGGCTAACTTAAGTATCATCTGATATTTTTATGAAAATTAAGTTAGCCGATAACTAAAAATTTTTAGAATTTTTTTTATTAAAAAAAATTATCACAAAAAAATTTCACTTGTGAAAAATTTAAAAAAACTACACGTGCAATTTTTTAAAAATATTTTTTAGTTCTAATTAAATGATTAAAAAAAAATCAAAGAAATAAAAAAAGTCGGCTAACTTTAGTAATATGATAATTTTTTTTAACACTGACATTACCAGACACTTGATCAATTTTTTAATTTTTAGTTTTATTTAAAAATCAATTAGGTCTAGAAAAAAATTTTTTAAAAATTGCATTTATAGTTTTTTGGAGCTTCCAAAAATTATCAGATGTCTTTTTAGAACATTAGAAGCTTTAAAAATTATAAATGAAATTTTTTAAAAGTAATTTTTTAGACTTAGTTTATTTTTAGAGACAAATAAAAAAATTTTCTCTGCTTATTTCAGTGTAATTAAATATAAACAATAAGATTATTAAAAATTATTTAACTTACTGCTACTGTCAGCATACTAGAATCGGGTTTCCACTGTACCAATAAATTTTCACCATATTTTTCTATTGAATCTTTAGTTCTTCTATGAAAAACAATAGGTACGCACGGCTAAATTAAATAAAAAAAAAAATTAAAATTACTTGATATTTTAATGATATTAAAATTAACAGATCTGTCAATTTTTTTAGATTTTAGTAACAATTAAATAGAAATAAGAAAAAAATTTAATGACATTAAAGTTAGTAGTCACCTGACAATTTTTTGATTTTTTTTTAATAAATAAATTTGCTCCGAAAAATTATTTCTAAAAAATTGGATTTTCCATTTTTTTAATTTTCTAAATATTAATTTTTTTTCCTCATTTTCTTTGAAATAATTTATTTATTAAAAAAAATTTTTAAATTATAAAATGTCTGCTAAATTAATTTTCATAAAAATTTACTATCTAATATTTATTTGTTAAAAAAAAAAAAACTTAAAAGTTATGCAAATAAAACACCATAATAAAATAATAGAAATTAGAAAAAATAAAAATTGCAATTTTTTAAAAATAATTTTTCTGAAAAAATTTGTTTTTTAAATAAGATTAAAAAATTTTCAAGACTGCTGACTTTAATGTCATAAAAAATTCATTAAAATTAATTTAGCAGATATTTAATAATTTTTAGAACTTTTGTTAACAAATAAATTATGGCAAAAAAAATAAGAAAAAAAAATTGACATGTAGAAATTAAAAAAAATTAAAAATTTGTCAAGTGACAGCTAACTTTAATGTCATATAAAATTCTTAATATGAAAATTAAAAAAAAAATTATAAATAGAAATTTTTGTAAGCATTTTTTTTTACTGTAATTTATTTTTTATAAGAATTAAAAAAATTGACAGTTATTGTCAGTTAACAATATCATTCATAACCTAAACAATAAATGTATATTAAAATGTCACAAATATAAAAATTACTTACTTTACAATACCAAATTGCTAAAGTATCTCTTGTCAAAATAGCAAACAAAATTTTGTCTCTATTACATACAATAGCATTTATTTGATTGAGTTCTGACGGGTTTAAAACCCTCGGCCAACCAATTGGAAAGAACATGATTATTTATTTTAATTTAATTCACACTGCTAATATTTATTTTTATATTCACATTCACACGTCAAAAATATTACAACTGAGTATAAGATTTAATTTTATTTTTCTTCTGATAACTTTTATAAAAATTGTACAAAAAGAAAGTAGCTGTCAGCTGTAGTGTTAATTTGTTGACACAAGTCGTTGTCATTAATTAACATATATATTTAATAATGTGTGTGCTTATATATATACAAGGTTAATTAGTGGTGCTGATTTGTCTTGACTGTTGGTATTATTTTATTGTTGTAAATTTATATTAGTAGTTTTAACCAACCACCACCCACATTTATTGCAATCAACTGACAGCGGGTCATACACGTATTTACATATGTACACACGTATAATTATCACATATGACAACTAAGCAATCAATGTCACCAATTTCAAGACAAGAGATCTAGTGCGATAGTTGACATGCCTGATATAAATTTACTCTTATATCAAAACATGTCACTAGCGTCATCTAGGATTTATATTTTAATAGAAATTATGAAAATTCATTTTTTATTTTTACATTAAAGAACATTTAAAGATTAAGTGAAAAAAAAAATTAATTATTGTAAATATACATACATGAGCAAAATTAAATTTTGGTAAGTATGCAATACTTATTTGTATATTTTTATAGTAAATATTTTGCTCCAACTTATTTATATTTTTACAGTATAAATATTTGTAAATAATTTACAATTATCTATTAAATGTTCATTTTTCTTCCGCAGTACAAAAATTTTTTATTTAAATGATTTATCACTCTAAATTAGGTAATGAAACGACACCAGCTTGCATGAAACATATAGTAGCACCGCTGACATGTGCAAAAACAATAGCTATTCCATCTCCATCCTGATAAAGCCTGTTGAGATCAATTGGTTGAAGAGACTGGCTATTTTTTTGACTGGAAAGAAGAAATAATAAATTAAATATGATTAGCAATCTTGCAATCACTACAAATAAATAAAATTTTGCTTTATTGAATTTAAATAATGAATTTTGTTAAATTGCAATGTACTTTCTTGAATATCAACGTTTTTTAAGATATAAGCTCATCCCGATGTTACACCCATCAAGAGCTTTCATTTGAGTACCCACATGTATTTTTGATATATTTTTCATATATACATATATATATAATATATATTTTAAAGATATAAGCTCATCCCGATGTTATACTCATTAAGAGCTTTCATTTGAATACCGACATGAATGTTTGATATATTTTTCATATATACATATATATAATATATATATATAAATATATAAAATATATGAAAAATTGATGTGGGTACTCAAATGAAAGGTCTTGATGAGTGTAACATCGAAATGAGCTTATATCTTTGAAATTATCAACATTTCACTAGATAAAAAGTCATTTCTTAATTATGTTAAATTGCACTGTACTTTCTTTACTATTGACATTTTTTTAAAAATAAGCTCATCCCGATGTTACACTCATGAAGAGCTTTCATTTGAGTACCCACTTGCATTTTTGATATATTTTTCATATATACATATATATAAATATATAAAATATATGAAAAATTGATGTAGGTACTCAAATGAAAGGTCTCGATGAGTGTAACATCAGGATGAGCTTATATCTTTAAAAATGTCATTATTTCACAAGATAGAAGTTAATTTCTTAATTATGTATCTAGAGATAGAGAATTTTCAAATACAGCCTAAATACTTATAATAAATTGACTATTGGTAAAAATGATAAAAAACCTTGAAAAGGCACAAATTCAAATCAAGACCTTTGCAATTACTAAATTTCGTAATTATCGTAAATTAGTGAATAAAAAAAATAATAACCTTGTAATAACTAAATGAAACATAGCATGACCTGGACTAGCTTTTCTATAAAGTTGCGTATTAGAATAAACCTTGTAAGATATTTTATAAAGGCCTCTTTTCTTCCTCACTGATTTATCCTGAGCCGGCTTAATAATTTTCAATCTATCATAAATTTGTTTCAAACTCGACGAATATTTAGGCCCAACAAGTGGCTGAATAGTGTGATTAATAACTTCAACTTCACTGCAATCTATATGATCATTATCATCTTCAATAGTTATTGTCTTAGCATCTTTCCACAATTTCTTCAACTTCATCCACGAATCAGCCGGTGCTTTTTCAAACGAACAATAATTTTCAAAGTTACTATCTTCTTCTACATTAACTAAATCATTTTTATTTTCACTTCTATTAGTATTATTATCAATTGGCTTATAATTTCTATTATTATGATAAATTCCCGGATTATAATACCGTGAATTTTGCCTTCCAGTAAAATATTGTCCCGGATCAAAAGAAGAAGCATAAATATTCGATAAACTTTGAGTAATTGAAGTTCTCAAGGCAAATGTAGCCATTGCAATATTTTTAAAAAAATTAACATGCAATGACGACCATCTATTTGAGACACTTTGTTGATTCGAGTAATTAGAAGTCGGATAATTATAATTAGAATTACCGTACATCATATTGTTATAATTAGGTAAGTTTTGATAGTGTGATCTTTGATAATTATTTGTATTATAATTATTATATTGCCAATTTTTATTTACTTCAAAAGAATTTGAATAGTTAGCCAATTGTCGATTATTTTGATAATTATTTTTACTGTCATTTAAATTTAAAGAATCATACTCAATTGTATTTTTATTTAATTTAATATCTTGAGGAATGTACTTAGGATCAATTGTTACTTTAATACAATTTTTGTCTTTAATATTAGGAAGACAATTTAACATTTCTTTTCTAGTCATCGGTATTGGAATTTCTTCAATTTCATCATCGGACAATTCAATTCTTTCATTTTTTATTTTTTTTACTGGTATTAACGTTACTTCTTTTAATGATTCTAAAGACGAAGATGATGTAGAAGGAACTGAAGAATTAATTACATCAAATTTTCTTTTTTCAGCTGCGACTTTTTCAGAATCATTAATATTAAATTTATCAGAAGTAATTTGACCGGAATTAGAATCAATATTTAAATAAGAAGGTATTATTTTATCTGTTCTTTTAGGAAGAAGCTTAACATTGCGTTGTATGCGAATACCAAGTGATGGATTAGTTTCTTTTTTATTAGCGACTAATTTAACTGGTTCAACCATAGTTTCAACAGAAACAATATTTAATCTTCTCTTATTTTTATCTTTGCTCTTAATATCATTTTCTATTTTATTCAAAATATTTTCCGCAGACTTGTCTTCTAAATTTTGCTCCTCAACCTCGATTTTATCAATAATACTGTTTATGACAAACTCAGCGTCGTTTTTAGTATTTTTATCGGCAGTGTCTTGAGAAAGTGGGGCACCACTCATCCACTGACTACCTTCTAGATCAATGATTACTTTTTTCTTGAGCTGGGAGGACTCGTCTTTTTCATAATCTGATTTTTCATAGTAAAACCTCTTCAAACGATAGCCCGACCGGGCTAATTGACTGTAGACTCTGTATTCTTCCAATGAGCAGTCGGAGTTTGGGGAGTTTATTAGTAATTCATAGGCTTGTTGGACTGATAATGATACTCCGTTGAAGAATAAGTCCAAGCAATTCTATAGCAGTAAATAAATCATTGTTGTTATTATTATTATTATTATTATATTTAACAATGATACTGAAGTTAAATGACATCAGGAATTTTTGAAGTGAAACTTCTTTAGGCGCATGAGGGTAAAATTTTTACAGATGAAACGTCACGCCGGTATGCAACGGAAGTGTCGGAAAAGAGAGAGAGAGAGTGATCGAGACCGATTGAGAGAGAGTAAGACAGGGCGAACGTAGCATGAGTAACTAGCCGTGGAGTGAGAGTAGGGAGCAAGCGAGATTATAATATTGAAATATCTTTAATTTAATATGGAAAAATTTTTTTTTCTTAAGCTTTATCTACCCAATTTCTATGAAGTTATAAATAGTAGAAAAATGATGTGTCATAAAGAAGTTTTACTTCTTACCTGTGTACTCTGATACACATACATATTTTTTTTTTTTTTTAATTTTGTAGCAGTGAAATTATAATAGAAAAATTTAGCAAAAAAATTCCACGTGAAAATTAAAAATAATTATTGGGGGAATTTTTGGAAATATTTATTATTGTAGTTGATTTTTGTAAAAATTAAAAAAATTGTTAGGTAATTTCACTGTTACAATTATGATAAGAATATTACTAGCAACCTTGCAGTCACTATGTGACTGCTGTACCATGTAAACTATAAATAAATGAAATTTTGATTATTAAATAATGAATTTTGTTAAATTGCACTGTATTTTCTTAACTATTGACATTCTTAAAGATATAAGATGTTACTCATTTTGATGTTACACTCATCAAGAGCTTTTATTTGAGTACCCACATGCATTTTTTTATATATTTTTCATATATTCATATATATAAATATATAAAATACATGAAAAATTGATGTGAGTACTTAAATGAAAGGTCTCGAAGAGAATAATGTTGGGGTTAGCTTATATCTTTAAAAGTGTGAATAGTTCTCAAGATACAAGGGCATTTCTTAATTATGTTAAATTGCACTCTACTTTCTTAACTATTGATATTTTTCAAGATATAAGCTCATTCTGATGTTACACTTATCAAGAGCTTTCATTTGAGTACCCACATGCATTTTTATTATATTTTTCATATATAAATATATGTAATATATATAAATACATAAAATATATGAGATATCGATGTGGGTACTCAAATGAAAGGTCTTGATGAGTGTTAGGTCGAGGTGAGCTTATATCTTTAAAAATGTCAATAATTGACGAGATACAAGGTCATTTCTTAATTATTCATATTTCTAAAGAAATAAGCTCATCCCGATGTAACACTCATCCAGAGCTTTCATTTGAGTACCCATATGCATTTTCATATATTTTTCATCTATACATATTTATAATATATATATAAATATATGAAAAATTGATGTGGGTACTCAAATGAACGGTCTTGATGAGTGTAACATCGGAACGAGCTTATATCTTCAAAAATGTCAATATTTCACGATATACAAGATCATTTCTTAATTATGTATCTAGCAATAGAGAATTTTCGAATGCAGCCTTTACTTATCATAATAAATTGACTATCTAATAATATAGATTAGTAGAAATTTTTTAAAGAATTTTTCTGTCTGTTGTAATTGATTTTTTATAAAAATAAAAAAAAAAATGAGTTGTCAGCTAACTTCAGTATCATAATTTATCAACTAATTTACAAATATAAGAATAAATAAATAAATTACCAGTTCTACTTTTAATAAAGCTTCCTCGGGATTTAAATACAAAGTACCTCGAAGTTCACATCCAAAATTATTCCAGTCAATACCAGACCTCTTAGTGACTATGACACGTCTTTCCTGAGGCAGCCATTCACCGACAGCTAACTTAGAAACTTTCTTCACTCTTTCTACATTTATTAAATCTCGTCGTGCTTCTAAACATGCATCTATCTGTCGATTTTGGAGCCATGATCTATTTGGCTCAAAGAGCCTCAGTCCTGTTTTTGGTATTACCTTGGAAGTCTGTTCAATTTCATTTGAAACTCGAGCTCTTAAACTGTTGGATGCTAATAATTCCTCACCACTATAATTACATTAACAATTATTATAATTAATTGTTGAAATTAATTTTTGTTAAAGGTTAAATTAATAATTTAAATATATAAAAACTTACTTTAAATAATTCTTTAATAATCCCTCTGGCTCTTCATTCATTATCGCTTTATTAGAAGTGTCTACAATTATTACCAATATCTATGACAGTAATAATCATTAACTAAACTATCAAAAAATCAAGTGGTTTTTTTTTTATTTTAAAAAATATTATACATTCCTTTGATTTATTTAATTTGTGTGGTTATAAACAAATGCAGTGGGGAATTATACGGCAATAATAATTTTTATTTCCTCCCGCTAGGTGGCAGTATTTGATAGTTTTTTGTGGATCTCGTATTCAAAGAAACGAAAAAACCAGAAGAGGATAGTTCGCAAGTTTTCACTTCTAAATATCTGAGTGACATCGAGAAATTTTACAAAGAGAAATACACATCTAGTATTCTAAAGCATACAAAAGTGTTGGTTTGCGATTGGAGTGAAGAAGACGATATAGCAACAATTATTGATGAAATTCAAGACTTACAATTCGATGGTAATTAAAGTATTATTCTTTAAGATCTTAATTTTACATTAATTACTATTAATCATTTAATAATTAATAGTTCGTCAATAAAATAAGCGTAACGGCTATTAGACCAGATGAATTAGAGTTCCACCAACTATGACTGACATAGACCATGACACATGGATGTTATCAGGCTCAACAGTGACGCGAGACGATGTAAACTCTTCGCCACCATTATTCCTGCGATCTTGATAAGCTCGTCGAAGAAAATAGGATCGGTATGATGCGATGTGCAGACTCGAGTCTCCATTATTATCTTGATGAAGTCGATCAAGGTACTGCGTGCAACGGTCTTCCGCCCCACGTTTACCTGGTGATTGATTTGTATACACAGTGCGATCAGGTATGAGCTTCCGGCGACCAAAAATTATTCTATACCTTATTATGCTCTTGATAATAATATTCTTAAAGTCGATGACCGTTTTTAAAATTATTATTTAATTACAGGTCACCATTGTTCAGCCAGAGCGATGTCGCTGAATGCCAGTTTACGACTACAAGACTCTCTTAAAGTTCTGTTGGACCCAATGCCGCTGACATAAAGAAACGACACGAGAATGGACACGTCGATCGACGCCTCGAAGGCTAAACTCTAGGAAATTATTCGAACTCCGACTCAACCGATTATCACTTCCACCGGTGAGATGGGCTGGTGTTACGAATTTCACGAAAATCACGGAAGAAATGTTGAACTGAAAGGTCAAACAGTGACTCGAAGAGTCGCTGATTACAATCAAGGTGTTGTTATGGCTAACCGGCCGTTAATAAAAGGTAAAATATTTCAAATGGAAATTGAGAAAGTTAATAATCGTTGGGTATATAGTATACTATGTCGTATAACTTGTATATCGCCTCAGAAAGCACCATTCCCTTTGACAGCTTTGGGTTTTAAAAAGTACTCGTGAATTATTTGCAGTGACTGGATGTCTCACAACGGTACTAAAGTCAAGACACGTTACAGTGGAAACTTGAAAAATGTTCAAGCTGGCTCAACAGTAGGCTTATTAATCGACGAAGGTTCCCGATTACATTTTTATGTTAATGGATTTGATCAAGAAATAGCCGCAACAGATATTTCGCCATATGTATACAGAATTATAGACTTTTACGATCAGGTAGAAAAAGTATCAATAATAAGTCTTATTGCCGAAACCGTTCTTACTAACAATGACGCTATTAATTTCGCGATAGCCAACAATGTAGAGTGCGTCGCCAAATGAGATTGAGGATGTTGAAAATTTCCGAGAAAAAGCTGAGCTCGGTTGTCATGAGAAAGAAAATTTCCTTGAAATTCCGTGCAGTCTACCGTTAAACGTTCGGATCGATCAAAATGAATTGACCAACTTCAACGCTATACAAACAACGTCATCGCGAGGTAATCCGTTGGAAAACGCAACTGCAAACATAGCTGCATCACTTGATAATATTGCATATTTCAATAATGATATACCGGGCAAGTAGATGAGTAGCAGCTGTAACTCAGACAGCAATAGTTCTACAAGTAAATTGGAAATAACTAACGAACCACCACCTGCTGCTGCTACTACCACTACTACTGAACTTGAGTGTTTTAAATTTGAAAATAATAATATTAATAACCATCCGTATGATACGTATGACAATAATACAATGTCTAACAACAATTTGAGTAGTGATAATGATAATCATGATGAACAAGCTATGTCGAGCAATATGTCAATATTAAAGACTGCTGTTAATTGAATGAATGCCAACAATGCAATTAATGAAAGTATCAAGTCTAACCGTCAATTAAATAATATTCCTGGTTTTCATTAAAACAAACAATCTAAACGCTAACATCAATGTTAATCTTAATAATATTAATCAGAATAACAAATCTCAGTGCAACCTCATGAGTAATTTAGCTGCTACATCTATTATTTTGTAGTCTCAAGATTCTCAATTGATTAATCATCAGCATCATCACCAGAATAGTAAACTAAGTTCCAGTAGTACTGTACTCCCTTACCAAAGTCAAGTATAAAGTCATAATTCCCAACAATCTACATTAAGTTCTACACAGACATGTCTTCATCAAAAACGCCGCTGAAACTCGACAATAATTTTATCACTCTCTAAAAAATGTGAACATCTGAAAGCTTGTAAAAAATTGAAGAAATCTCTTGTTCTCCCAAATGAATTTTTTTTACTCGATGAAATTATTTGTTACTGCAATTCGTGTTACAAAGTCGACAGCGATGGAGCTACTTGTAAGGAAGGAGATCTTCCAACAGAGTTTGCTGTTCCCATAAGGTGGGTTAGCTTTCTTCTTAAACAGACTATCAATACTAATCAAATTCCTCAGAGTACTACTGATAAGTAGCATGTTACTTACTATAGAACACGTTTAGACTCGATTAGGTGAAAATTATATATTATTTTTCCTACTCATTAATTTATCACTTATTTCATTATAATTACGTATTTTCTTTTTTATTATTTAAGATGGATTATCGATCACGGGGAGTTATTACCCATAAAACAGTTGGACTTCAGTAATTTAACAACAATTTTCGATAGAGAAGATCAAAATCCACAGTTTGTATTTTCGCCAAATATCAAGTACGTGACTTCTGAAGAAATTAAAAAATATTCATAAGCTTGAATTATGTTTTTTTAAGGTTATAAGGATTTTTATTATTAAAAATATTTTATTTTAATTTTAATATTTTATTTTAGATACATTGACATTCAATCAAATAAAAAATTAAATGCTTCAATGGCGTTTCAATTACTGGTGAAATCTGGATCTTACATGATGGATTTAGATAAACAGCACGGAGTAGAACCAATTGAATAGGCTACTAAAGAGGCTGGTGCCACAGTTATCATAGCTTTTCTTATTAATCTTGATAAATTATCTAATATTCTAATATAATTATCTAATTAATAATTTAATATAATTATTAAATTATTAAATTATTAATTATTAAATGAAAATATTAAAAAAGTTAAATTACTTTTTATAATACTTATAAATATATTTTAATAGAATAAATTTATCGCTGTCATAATACGTATTTTATTTCAATAATTAATGGATCCAACAACAGAGCAAAAGTTTTTTTTTAAATATATTTTTTTTTTCTTTTCATTACATTTCAGGTTCACTAGTCATAGATAATAGTTAATTCTTTTTGTAAACCCTTTTAAAAATTTTCTATGAAAATACAAACTCATCATGCACTTAATTAACACGAATATATATATCATTTTTTCCATATAAATATTATAAATGCCTATTTTTAATGTTAAATAAATTCACCTCTTACATGAATATTTTAATAATCATATTTATAGTTATATTTTGTGATGCGAAAATATATTTTTTTATGTAATAAGCTCAATATATCCGTTAAAATATTAGATATAAGTTTGTATTCTATTCTATTTATTTAATAATTTCAAATTTACTCTGCTCTTTCCCGCTCAACCAGTTGATTGAGAAAAACAAAAGACAGTTAAAATACATAATGTTATTATTGTTGTTTCATGACGCCATTGAATAAATAAAATTCTTTTTTGCTAATTGAATTATTTGAGTAATTGTTTAAATAATTTATAACATTAATTTCAACAAGTTTTAATATTTAACAATATGACTTCTTGGGCGTCTGTGCCTTCTGTGGAAGTTATCAATCGAGTGATAAATTTTGAAATTTGTACTGATAATGGTGAAATTAAGCCAAGGCGTGATCCTGTTTGGACGGATATTTGTCAAATTTGGAAGCTTTCATCAGGAAATTATATAAAAAAACCGATAAGCTTATATTTCGAAGTTAAACAAAATCGGAACAAGATCTTCGAGCGGTATCTTAAAGAGCGTGGTTTAGATACATCTCAGTTTATTGAAAATAAACGTCCTTCCTCCCCAGAAAGTGAAAATGAAAATTCAATTGACAATGATAAAAATAAAGAAAAATTTATAAGTTTTAACATTAAATTTACTAAAGAAGAGTGGTTGAAAATTAAGCCAATTGAAAAAATTGATTGCAATAATAAAAAATATTATGCATTGCAAAAAGGTTGGACTACTACTGTCGCAAATTTAATTTATATTAATCAAAAATTACCGTGTGCGTTTAGCTTTCCCCAGCAATCTGTTTACTACTTAAATAATGATAATAATGTCAATAAATATATTGTGAAGATTTCCGGGTTTTGCACTGAAAAGTTATGTAAAGCTGCCATCCTGGGGGAGTGTATATTTACTTTTAGCAATGATGAAAATATTAGTATGCTAATACATACAGCGCAAACACGTCATATTCCTCATTCGAAAAAACGACATGTCACTGGAGAACAAAGACGTGAATTTGCGAAAAATCTGGAACTACGAAAAGGAGAGTTATTTAAAAGAAACTTAATTAACAAGTACCAAGAGTACGGTGAGCAGGCAGCTCCTATCATTCCTAATGCACCTGTCCTTAATCAAATCCGCTATGAAGGAAAGAAAATTCGTCTTGGTGTCCAAGGCACCTTATGGGACTCATTAAAGCACTTGAAACATAATAATGTAGAATATCATGATGTAATCAGGCAAGTAGGATTTGATAAATTTTTTATATTTTATTGGACCAACCAGCAAACTGATTTATTCAATGATTTATTAACACTGAACCCGCAGGTGTCTTTAGACGCTACTGGAAGTGTAGTTCGGAAAATTCTTTACAGTGAAAATTATCACCATGGCCCGATATTCTTATATCAAATCATTATCCATATCGGTTCCATAATAGTTCCAGTTTGCCAGATGTTGACTGAAAGACATGATACCAAAATTATTGCATTTTGGCTTTATGAGTGGATTTCTGCAAAAGCTCACATCCCTCCGGAAGTTGTGACAGATATGTCGGATGCTTTACAAAATGGCATATGTATGGCATTTTGTAACATGACATACAAACAATACCTGTCAAGCTGCTACACATTTTTAATGAAGAAGAGCAAAGTTTTACCACGAACCTATTTAAGGATTGACATTGCTCACTTAATTCATAGTGTGGCAACAGAAAAAAGTTTTTCGTCGGTTAAACTTGTCGTAAAAGATTTTTATTTAAGAGCTATTGGTCTAATGAGCACACTACAAAATTTTACAGATATTGAAAAAATGATGAAAGTATTGTTAAATATAAGCCAAAATGAATATGGGTGCAAAAATGACATTCAATGGGTATTAACAAAATTAGAGACGTTTAAATTTGATGACACCGTTATTGATTACAAAAATATTAAAAACAGCAGTAGCTGTGACAAACAAAATCATTGTAATAGCCATTTGGTTTGTCACGATGAAGAATTAGAAAATAATGATTCTGATGATTCTAATTTTAAAACTTTACCAACTGATCTTGATTTAATTAATTATATTGATAAACTTGTTGAAGAAACTCATAATAATATTGATTCTAATGACTCTATCAAATTTGATGACATCAACCCTTATTATTTAGTTGGTCTATTAAAAAAGTTAAAATTTTTGTTTAAACGATTTCCATCATGGACAAATGTCATGCGTAAGCATTATGAGTCAGAACATAACGTTGCAACTTCTTCTCGTTCTGAGAGTTATTTTAAATACGTAAAGGAGAATGTGCTAGATAACCGACAACCAACCCGAGCCGATATGTTTATAATTCAGCACATACAGACAATCACACCTAGATTAATTGAAGCTAGAGCTGCTTATGATAAGCTGCAGATGATCACTAAAAAACCTTTAAATAAGCCTCAAAAATTATCCGAAGAATCCGCATTGAATTGTCAAGAAAATTGGAGAAACAAAAACAGACTAGATGGAAATTTAGATCTAGATCCCACTGAAGAAACAATTTCTGATAATTCGATTAATGAAAGTGAAGCAAGAAAAACTAATGACAGTGAAAGTGAAATTTTAAAAACAGAAGAATCTAAAGGACCAATTTTGAATAATACATCGGATTCGGAATTTACATTAACACCTACTAAAGAAAATAGTATTTCATTTAATAAAGATTTAAATTTATCTGAGCCAAAATTCCATTCTACTCCTATAACATTTTCTGATACATCACAACTTTCAAATATTTCAGTGAAAAAAAACGAAGAAAGTAGTTTCTCAATAGTATTGGACGAAAAACCAATTAAATTTAAAATTCACGAAACTCAGAGACCAATAAAACGAAAACAAACTTCAACATGTACTCCATGCCCGCCAGTTAAACGAGGGAAATATTTGGTTCCATTTCCATCTGTAAAAGTATTACATCAAAATGCAGCAGCCAAAAATTCAAAAAAAAATAAGAAGCGACCAATGATACAAAATGGCTGCATTAGTAACCCTCGGAAGGTTGGTAAATTAAAATTATCAATAAAAAATACATGCCCCTTTGATAGTATAATTGAACTTCTTTCTTTTTCTTATTTAAATTTCAAGGGCTTGAAAAGTTTTATCGATAATCAAAAAAGTAAATCTGAATTCCTAGAAATCTTACTTTTTTATGCAGAATTTGGTGCTATAGCCGCATTTAACAGTAAAAGATTTAATTTATTACGCAAGATATATAGCGAACAAAATTACTTTATTGACTGTCAAGATGATGTTGTTGAATTAATACAGAATTTATTGATTCATTATGAATCTGTCACTGAACATACGTTTTGCATGGGATGTAAAAGTTCTGAAACAAAAAAAAAATCAGTATTAAACGTTAACGCTACATTAGTATGGAATAATGGCTTTGACTTTCTAGAAGAAAGTATTTTGAAGGATATTGAAAATGAAAAGTTTTTTTGTAAAAAATGTAATGAAAATGTGACCGGTCGAACACTGAATTTCGATTCATACTTATGTTTAAATGTAAATCATTTTTATGAAAAAATACTTTCTACTCAAAAAGGTAAACAAAAAACATTTTCAAAAAGTAATTTGCGAGAAATCCCTATAAATTTAAATATTCAGGATAAAAAATATTTATTGACTGGAGTGATTGAATTCCAACCATCGAGTATACCAGATGGTGTTGGACATTATATAGCTTATACTAGGACAATTCAAAACAAATGGACTGAACTAAATGATTTAAAACCGGGTCCAACAGTTTTAAAAACTAAACTACCTGACATTCGAATTGTTTTATTATTTTATGTCTTAGTGTAAAAAATCTATGATTAAGATTCACTCGATTATATGTTTTTGTTTACGATGTATAAGATTTTACCTGATTAAATATTTTATCTTAAAATTATTAGTGTATTTGTTTTTTCTAATATAATTATAAAACTAAATTACATCAAAATTAAATTGTAATTATATGCTAAGAAAAAGATAATATTGATTAGTGTAAGAAATTTCAGGTAAGTATATTTTCATTTTTATTACTCATTTATAATTAAAAATTGTTTTTTTCAATTTTTATTTTATATCAAAAGCTACAGATCAAGTTAAGTACTTAATTTTGGGATTGATGATAAACTTTAACGTTAATCGATCATTAGAAATTTTTGTATCCTCTCTAGCAACCACTTTAATTAAATTATTATCAAGCTTAATACCTTAATTAAGATTAATGAAATTAACAATTGACCCGGTTTATTTATCACAACAGTTTTTTATTTATCACAACAGTTTAAACTGAGTCAAATACAGCTGCATCTGTGTAATTAATATTTCCATGCATTAACACCACTGAAATTTATTTTGATAATTAGTTTATTAGCTTTTTCGATACTATTTGTTTATTATTATTGTTGTATGAAATTTTACAAGTACATACCAAAACATCTGTCAATAATAAAACTTTAAGACCTATAGAAACAACCACAAAAAATCCTTCATTTGACAATGGTTTTCAGCAATTTTACCTGGGATAAAGAAAAAAATATTGATTAAAAATAAAATAAATTTGACATAAGTCTCTGATATTTTTTAATTTTTAATTAACTTTCATTTAATCCATAAATGTTAAATTTATTTTTTAGTCTTCACTTCATTTAATTTAAATATAAAATACTTCCATTACGAATAAAACTTTTGAGGCCTACTGATGATTAATCCCAGATAAAGAATAATCTTGAGTCATTCGCTCAATTTTTTTTCTGTTATAATTTTCTTTTTACTCTAAAATACATAAAAACTTTTTGTATAATTCTGATTGGCGTATGATGTATATAATAAATAAAATAAAATATTGCAAGATAACATTAAAATTCACGTAAAAGTGTTTAGTCTCGAAGTTGATTAAATAAGTTTTTTATTATTAGTCAATTCAATAGATTAACTGGTAATTAAATTATAAAGCGGCGGTACTAAGACTTTTTTTTTTTGCTGAGATGCGCCCAGCTGGTCTTTAGGGAGTCCCGTACTACCAATAGAAAAATCTTCAAAAAATAAATTTTATTATTTGAGATTTAAAATATTTAACACCAGACGAAGGCATAATATTGACCATTGACCATTGGCATAGGTTGTAAGTTGTCAGTCATTTTCCATATGAAGCCGGCTTAAGCTAATGTTGCATTGACATACATACAGTAAAAACTGTTAAAAGTTACCCAGGTTGCCTTTCTCTCGCTTTTGTTAGCGTTTTATGAGAAATTGAGACAGATAACCTGGGTAACTTTTAACAGCTTTCACACCAGATCCATTTATCCCGTTACAGTAAAAGCTCTTAAAAGTTACCCAGGTTATCTGTCTCGCTCTTATTGATGTTTTATGAAAAATTGAGACAGAACTACGGTAACTTTTAACAGCTTTCACTGTATGTCCGACGAAATTATATATACATATAAGTGTCGTTGTTGACACTTTTCGCGGCAATTCACTATAATTTCAATTATTGAATTATGTTTATAATAATAATAATAATAATAATAATAAATTATAAATAATGAATTTTGTTATTTATGCCTCGAAAATTGTTCTAACTTCTAACACATTAATTTCAGTATGCAGTTCTTTTAACACAAGGACATGTCTATTCATACGTAAAAAATTCCTGATAAATCTAAGCCGTGTGAATGTAAGTCCCTTAAATCTACGCTGAGTGAATGTAAAGGCTCTTATATTCATGTGGCGTGGATTTATCAGGACTTTTTTATGTGTGAATAGAAACATCTTTAAAACAAACAATAAAATAAACAATTAACAATTTCAATCTCAGAACTATAAAAAAGTATGTGAATGAACTTGCTGCACATGTTACTATATATATATATATATATATATATATTGTTCGAAATCATTTAATTTGATAGAAAAAAAAAATAATCATTTTTAAAAATAACAATAAACGAACATGAAACAATCTAGATTAGAAGGATTCTGATACTAATTAAAAAAAAAAGCATTACAGTTATAATATAATAATAGTTGACATTTATAGATTGAAGATGATGATTATTTACCAATTTCTTAAATAATTCGAATCTAGATTTAAATATTTTTTTGGCATATTTTATATTGGATGAAGGTTATGTTGAATAATATTTATATTTATAATATATAAATACATAAATACATATCAGACTAAAACAAAAAATATAGATTTAAATGTTTTTTTTTGTTTTTCTATTTTTAATATATCGTATATTTTATTTTAAGAATTAAAAAAGACTTTAAGAAAACTTGGGACCTTAATATTAATTTAGTTTATACAAATTTTATTTTTTAGGAATTTATTATTTAAAAAACACTTTAACTCAAATTTTTCGAATTTAATACACATATTTAAAAAAATATAATTATATATAATTTTATAGAATTACACAAAAATTACAAACATTATTATATACAATTATATGAAATTATATATGATTACATGAACTATAATTACAACTAATATCATATATCTAATTCTACTTAATGTTTTTTATGATTATGTATTATTATTTTGTTCAAAATTGAGAAATAAAATAATATATACAAGCAGTGGTTGCCGATAAACCGCTTTTTATTTTTTTTGACCACTGCAAGATAATAATTAAAAAAATTGAGATATCATTAACGACTCTCTTTTTCTATTATAAATGATTTTATCAATTTAGTTAAAATCTTAATAATTATTGTATTGTTATGAATAATTTTTTAAACGGTATTATAATCAATATGTTTCAATAAATAAATATATTCACGTAAAAAAAAATTAATATGTTAAGCACGTACGACAAACAGCACTTACATTAAACAATTTATAATTATATCTGTATAAATTTATTAAATTTAAGTCAATAACTAATTCAGATCATTTTTAACTAATAGATTGACAACAAGAAATATAAAAAAAATATTGGGATTTAGACGAGAATCATATAGGACTAAACATTTATAAGAATTTAAATATCAATGAAGTTTCACTTGTTCCATCAATAAAAATTATAATTCTTCTTTCCAATCTCAGATTGAAATATTAAAATCAGAAGTCTCATTTATTACATAAAAATAACTACTGTCGTGTGCTTTCGAGAATGGTAGGTAGTATACTAATAATAGTTTATTGTTAAAGAGTATCTAATTTATTAATGTTATTATTTAATCATTAATAGCAAGTCGTATTCATAAACTAACATTTTTATATAAAGAAGCATTTTTAAAATTTCCTAAAATTAAAAAATAAATAGTATATGAGGCATTAATCGTTGAAATTATAAAAATAAAAAAAAAAAATATTTAAATACAAAAATTAATTTGACTCTTGTAAATGAGCTGTTAGTAACCTGTCCGTGATTTGGAAACGCTTTATTTCGGTTGTTTACATTTTTATTTGCACAATATAACCTTAACCATGTTTAACTTTTTGCAGTTAGTGTAAATAAATAAATAAATTAAAAATATTTAGTCACAAAACCATAAAATTCTAATGTCTCATAGCAGGAATGCTAGTATTTTTTAATTATTATTTTATTTTACAATTATGAAATATGAAAATTTATTAACAATAAATTAACTAATTAGTATGTATGAAAAACATAAGCGTAATGTAATGTTCTGACGCCATTAAAATGTAGGTTACTCAAAAATTTTCTGTGATTTTATAATTTTAATTTCTTCATAAATTCCACGGCAACCTACATATTTTATTGCAAAAAATGAAACCTGAATATTTCGAAAACCTTATTTTGATTTTTTTTCTACCCCATCTAATTGGAGGTTAATGCCATAATTCGAGAAAGTTGTTAAGGTCTGACTTTCTCGTAAGACTCGGAAAAAATACTAACATTTTTAGAAATTTTTTTTTCAAAAATTTCCACGATGAAGAGTAAATTGAACTTCACTAGTAGATACATACAGGCTTTAACTATTAGATACAAATTAATTTTATGCATAATCTGATATTTTTTATTTAATATTGATGGCGAAAGGACCTCCTTAAGGTAAGAGACCCCATTAGTGGCACTTTTTCTTTTAATGAAAAAATTTTCTGCTTTAAATAAAAATTAAAAATTTTATTGATTTAAAAGTTTTAAAGATTAGAAGTAATATATTCATTATTGAAATTAATGATTTCATTAATTGAATAAGCACCAAAATCAAAGGAAGTGTCAGTAATGGGGTCCCCGCCACTAATGGGGTCTTTTACCTTACATAACATTTTAATTGTTATCATGTATTAAGTTTAACTTGGTTAGAATGATGTTAGTTAATAAATTTATTTAATTTATCAATTCATATTTATTCATTAAAAAATAATTATTTACAGAATATATGTGTCATGTTTACGTAAGAGGTGACAGTTTAGCTGATGTTTTAATTACGGATCATGAATATCCGAACAGGGTGTCACACACACTTATTACCAAAGTATTAGATGAATCTGCAACAAAGTATCCTTCAAATTCATCGTCAAAATTAAATGAATCGACCTGTGATTTTTCACAAGCTAACGTTTATCTTGCTAAGTATCAAAATGTTCGAGAGGCTGACTTATTGACTAAAATACAAAATGATGTAGATGAAATGATACTTGTATGTTATTGAAAAAATTTCAATAAAGTGAAGTATTGTTTAAAAAGCTATATTAAATAACAATGTTTTGTGCAATCTTCAGCATAACACTTCGAAAGTAGTATTACAAAGGGGTGAAAAATTTGATTATTCAGTAAAAATATCAGAGAGTCTGAGCATGCAGTCTAAAGCATTTTATAAAACTGCACGTAACTGATTCACACTGCAGTTTGATAGCTTAAATTATAATAATCCATTGAGATGATAATGAAAAACAAACAAATATTTTTATACATTTATTATAAATTATATTCGAAATAAAATGTCAATGTTTACCAATTTAAATGTATTTATGTACTGAGAGAAATTTTAATTCGTTTTAATTATCATAGAAACTTCAAATTTCTTAAAATTATTGTCCTCTTTATTGTGATTTTCAATTTATAACTCATTCATAAAAAGAAAGAAAAAATTGTATTTTATAACCTTATAACCGTGAGATATTTGTAAAAAAAATTATTTTGACCGTATAAATTAAATATCATTAAGTTTATTGGTGTTGGATGTAAAAAATAACGGTGAGAATAAATAATTGTTTCATCGTTATTATGAAGATCTATTATTTATGTATTTAACTATGTTTATAAATTGAAAAATATTTTTATAATTGGAGATGGCAATTTTATCCTGCTTATAATTTTTTGAAGACATATATTACTTCATGACTCACGTAAATTGTAAGATTATAAATTTAGTTAAAAAAAAAAAGAAAATATTAATTCTCTCGAATGGTTTAATCTATATTATTATAAGAGATTTCTATCTATATTAACACTCATCACGATATCTCAGAAACCATCAGACCTAAAAACTTGAAATTTGGTAGGAATATTCTTTTTGGTGAGTAAAGTTCAGCTAAGAACGGATTTTACAAAATTCCTCCCCCAAAGGAGTTTGCGGGGGCGTTAACAATAAAAAATTCCCGTTTTCCAACTATAGCTCCTACAGACTCTAAATTTGGTAGGAATTTTCGGTAAGTGATGTATAAATCATTTATGAACGAATTTTAGGATAGCTTACCCGACAGGGGATGGCGGGGGTGGGTGTTAACAATAAAAATTTTTAATTTCCAAGCTATAGCTCCCATAAACTTCACACTTGGTAAGAATCTGCTACATGTGAGGTAGAAATGATTTAAGAACGGATTTCATGACAACCTACGCCTAATATGGATTGCGGGGGTGGATGTTAACAAATAAAAATTTTGGTTTTCAAAATATAGCTCCTACATGCTCTAAATTGAGCAGGAGTCTTCTATATGTGATATAGAAATTATCTAAGAGCGGATTTTACAACGAATCACCTCCAATGAGGATTGCGGGAGTGAGTGTTAATTTATAAAAAATCTTAATTTCCAAAATATAGCTTCTAAAAACTATAAATTTGGTAGGAATCTTTCATTTCTAACGAAGAGATCATCTCAAAATGGATTTTAACAAATTCTACTCCTGATAGAGATTGCGGGGCTGGGTTTTAAAATCTACAATTTTGATTTACAAATTATAACTTCTACAGACTCCAAATTTGGTGAAAATCTTTGTGTATGATGTCAAGTTAAGCTAAGAATGGATTTTCGCGAATTTCAATCCAAAAGGGATTGTGAGTGCGTTAACAATGAGAATCTCTTATTTTTAAGCAATAGTTTCTATGGCCTCGAACTTTTATTGGAACCTTTTGTTTATAACGTAGAAATCATCTCGAATAGGAGCTAACGAAATTCCTCCCCTACATAGGAGTGCGGCAGTGATGATTGTCAAAAAATTCATATTGTTCCTTCAAATATAAAATTTGATAGAATCTTAAGAGAAACAGGAAATCACAGGGATTGCCTCCAAGGTCAACCGGTTTAAATATTTTTCTTTCTTAATGATTATATTTTCTAACAGTAATCGTCTTTTTGGCAGCGGCTAAAAAGTCATTATAACGTTTCCAAAATTTTACTTTACATGTAGCTATTCAGTCAACGGACTAAAAGATTAACATACATTTTATTTTAGCTGATTACTAACCAATGAATTGTTCTTATTACGGAAGAAATTCCCTGAATAAATAAAAGTATTGAGACAAAGAAAAAAGTATTGGATTGACTAGGAAACCAATACTTTACAATACTTTTCTCTTTGTCTCAATACTTTTTTTTAATCAGGGTTTTAATTAACAGCAACGTTCGCTGCACTTTGAACTAGGCAGATTTAAATTTCACTTATGAGACCTACAATAACTTTAACTGAAACTTTCAATGCTTATTTCAAATTTGTGCTTATTTCAAAAGTGTCAATTACTATTCGTTTTTTTTTTAAGAAAGCCACGGGAATGTTATATTAATTGCACCTTAAAAGTTACAATAAATATTAGCTAGAATGATCACATGGATAGAAGGTATATGCTAATTCGATGAAATTTGAAATCTCTGTAAATCTACAAATACAATTCTATAAACACCCAGCGGAGCGGGCGGGTAACAGCTAGTGAATTTTAAATGAATCATTTCACAACTAAACCTTAATGACTAAGTAATATCGAAAGAAGACTATATAAACAGCTTCAACATACCACTTAATATAAAGCAGATTGTATTTGTTTACCTAATTTTACGTTCTTCTTTAGATTTAAACAAAACACCTTTGTCGAGGTCTGGATCGTATCGTGGAGCAAATTGAACACATCCAACCAGAAAAAGGAAAATGTAATTGATTCAGTGTTATATAGTATATTATCAATGGGTAAAAGGAAAAAAAATATATTAAATCAACACTTCTCGTTGATGTTTTGCTAATACTAGATGCTGTTATTCGACATTCTGTTCTGATATTATCATTTCTGGAACATCATAAGGCATTCCAAGTGTTGAGTGAGTCAATGCTTAAGCTTGGTGACAGAAAATATCTCCTGTTGCCCGCTGGGCATCCTGAGTTGTAAATTTCGAATCATTCATTTTTTCAGTTTCTCTTAGGTATGCTTTAGAATATTTGATGTGTATTTATCTTTGTAAAATTTCTCGATGTCACTCAGATATTTGGAAGTGAAAACTTGCGAACTATCCTCTTCTGGTTTTTTCGTTTCTTAGAATACGAAGCTGTTTTTATTGACATTTGTTGTGTTTTTTATTTTTTTTTGACAGCCGGATGAAAACAAGACAAAAAATATGCATTTTTATTGTTGTTATTGTAAGTAATTAAATAATAATTAGATTAATGAGTGAGTTTAGTGCTATGGATTATGGCGAAATTAAAATTGAAAGAAAATCAATTGAATTTGAAGATTTTAAAAAATTTATTATTGGAGATAAAAAATTTGACAAGCAGTACTCCAATATTTATATCGCTCGGTTAAGAGCTTTGAAAAATATTTTAGAAAATAAATCCAAAGAAAAATGGGGTAAATAATTTTTTTTTTTTTAACTGAAATTGAAAATTTTTAGAAATTTTTTGATAAATAAATTATAGAAAAAAAAATTTATTAAAAAATTCTATTTTTTAAAACTTCAAAAAATTATATATTTATTTATTTGGCCGATATTTAATTTTTTTAATAAATAAATTGCTGTATAAAAAAATGAAAAAAAAAAAATGGACTTTTAGAAATTTTAATAAATTAAAAATGCAATTTTTTAAAAATAATTTTTCGGAACAAATTTTTTTATTTGATTAAATTAAAAAATGGTCAAGATATTTAATAATTAAAAAAAAATTTTTTTTTTAATAAATTACTGCAAAAAAAAAATTTGACATGTAGAAAAAAATAAAAAATGCAATTTTTTAAAAATAATTTTTTTGGAAAATAAAATTAAAAAATCGTCAGGTAAAAATAATTTTCTACTTCTAATTTATTTTTTGAGAAAAATCTAAAATTTTTTCAACTGTTTGTTAATTTTAGAGTAATTTTTTTTATTAATTATTAAATAAAAAAATTATAATTAAATATTTATATTATTTTTAGGGCAATATCAAGTAAAAACAATATCTCAACTTGGTGATGATAACGACGATGAAAGTGAAGCAGAGAAACTAGTCATACTTATAGGAATTATTTATAAGCATCAAGAATTGAAGCCTTCTATTTTAAAAGAGCTTAGTGATGAACTTCAATTAATACCACAGTCATCAAGGTCTAACTATTCATCTGAAAAAGACCAATTATTCCTCGAAGATGAAATGCTGAGGATTAAATTAATAGGCAGTGATTTAAATCATAAAGAAATGGTAACAGGATTAATTTGTGGTGTGTTAGGTTACCAGTCCAGTGGTGGAACATTTAACGTATGTTTTTTATTTAATTATAAGAAGAGTGTTGCTTTATACTCTACCTAGTAATTAATTACTTTTTTTATTTTAAATTCTAGGTCAAGGATTATTGTGTACCAGGAATTTGTCCTCAAGCTTCGGAATGTTCTCCTCTAATGTTTCCATCAGAAGATAAAATTTTAGTATTATTACTATCGGGGCTAGACTTATCTGGAAATCCGGACTCGTTGCACTATCAACTTTTGAGTGAATGGATCAGTGGGATGGCGGGAAATAATCAAGTTCAAGAAAATTCAGCTTTTATTGCACAAGTGATAATAGCTGGTAAGAATTTTAAAGATATCAGCTTATTCTGATGTTACACTCATCAAAAGCTTTCATTTGAGTACCCACATGCATTTTTATATATTTTTCATATATACATATATATATAAATATATAAAATATATGAAAAATTGATGTGGATACTCAAATAAAAGGTCTCAATGAGTGTAACATCAGGATGAGCTTATATCTTTAAAAATGTGAATAGTTCACAAGATACAAGGTCATTTCTTAATTATTAATATTTTTAAAGATATAAGCTCATCCCGATGTTATACTCATCAAGAGCTTTCATTTGAATACCCACATGCATTTTTATATATATTTTTCATATATAAATATATAAAATATATGAAAAATTGATGTGGGCACTCAAATGAAAGGTCTCGATGAATATAATGTCAGGGTGAGCTTATATCTTTAAAAGTGTGAATAGTTCTCAAGATACAAGGGCATTTCTTGATTATGTTAAATTCCACTATACTTTCTTAACTATTGATATTTTTCAAGATATAAGCTTATTCTGATGTTACACTCATCAAGAGCTTTCATTTGAGTACCCACATGTATTTTGATATATTTTTCACATATATATGCATATATATATAACATATGTAATATATATAAATATATGAAAAATTGATGTGGGTACTCAAATAAAAGGTCTCAATGAGTGTAACATCGGGGTGAGCTAATATCTTTAAAAATTTCAATAGTTCACAAGATACAAGGTCATTTCTTAATTATATTAAATTGCACTATACTTTCTAAATTATTGACATTTTTAAAGATATAAGCTTATTCTGATGTTACACTCATCAAGAGCTTTCATTTAAGTACCCACATGAATTTTGATATATTTGTCATATATACATATATATAATATATATATAATGTCGGGATAAGCTGATATCTTTAAAAATGTCAATATATAAGCTCATCCCGATGTTACACTTATCAAGAGCTTCCATTTGAGTACCCACATGCATTTTGATATATTTTTCATATTTACATATATATAATATATATAAATATATGAAAAATTGATGTGGGTACTCAAATGAAAGGTCTCGATGAGTGTAACATAAGGATAGGCTTATATCTTTAAAAATGTCAATAGTTCACGAGATACAAGGTCATTTCTTAATTATGTATCTAGAGATACAGAATTTTTTAATGCAATCTAAGTACTTATCAAAATAAATTTTTAATGATACTAAATTTCACTAAAAAAAATCGATTTTATCATATGTCTATCCTGAACACAAAATTTTTCTTATTCTCTTAATAATATAGATTAAAATTGTATTCTTTTATAGGAAACAGCATAAAAGGTTCTGTCGAAACTTATACACACAAAGGATACGTGGACTCAAAAAATAAATTTACAGCTGCTACAATGGAAACAATACTAGCAACACGTAGATTTGATACTTTGCTAAGTGAAATTGTCTCGACATCAAATGTCATTCTAATGCCTGGGCAATTTGATCCGTCAAATCATTCGATACCGCAACAACCTTTTCATCCCTCTATTTTACCGCTTTCTTTCAGGTATGTTATACATTTTTTTTTATCAAAAAAAAAAACTATATTACTTGTAGACGTAAAAAAATTTAAGGTATAAAAGCTTGTATGTCGCCACAAATCCTTGGATTGGAAAAATCGGAAGTAGAATTTTAGCAGGCTCGAGTGGTCAACCAATAGAAGATATTATGAAAGTAGCGAATTTAAATGAGTATTCACCAATTGATTGGTTAGAAAAAACATTATATTGGAGGCACTTTGCGCCAACAGCACCCGATACACTTGCTGCCTACCCTTACGTTGAAACTGATCCATTTATTATGGACGAATGTCCTGATATTTATTTTGTTGGGAATACTAATGAATATGCAACAAAGTGTGTAATTGGTGATCAAGGACAAACAATTAGACTTATTTGTATTCCCAAATTTTCAAAAACACACACAGCTGTTGTTGTAGATTTATTGTCTTTAGAGACTTGGCCGATAACTTTTCAGAATTAGTAATATTATTAATGAATTTTTTTTAAATTATTTATTATTTAATGTTCGTAGAAAATTGTTGGGTAATTAATTATTTACAAGTGGGGTCAAACCTAATATTTTTGGCCATAAAAAATAGATGAATTGATGGATCATTATAATTTTTTTTAACTTCTTTGTTTTTACAGCGAATTTATGATGGTGATATCAAAAATATCAAAAAATTAATATTTTAATTAAAAAATCATCTTTTAAAGTTGGAAAAAATTTTAGCTCTCATTTTTTTGGATAAAATTTCTATTTTATCTTTTTTTGAAATATTTTTTTTGAAAAAAAAAAGAATAATTTAAAAAAAGGTGAATATCATAATTTTCTAAAAAATTAAAAAATTTTTTTGAAAATTTGTTAAAATTGTGATAATTAACATTTTTTTTTTAATTGTTCATTTTTTAATATATTTTTCAAAAGAAAAATATATTAATAAAATCAAATAAAAATTTCGTTCAAAAAAATGAAAAAAAAAAAATAATTGACCCTACTTGTAAATATTTACCAAAAATACTTAAAAAATTTAATTAATTTATTCGATAGAGGCTGTAAGAAATTTTAAAATTTTCTACAAAATATGAATTATGTAAATATATTTTTATAATATAGATTTATTTATTTATAATAATAAATATAATATATTTCTTTTCGATGTTACATCTATAAAGATAGTTAGACGTTTTTATTTTTTATTATCTACAATACATTCATTTATTTAATTTGTTCCATAAAATACTTTCCATTATTTTTTTCTTGCTCAACAATCAATATAAATTACATAAAAGCTTTGAATAAGGAATCCCGGAAAAAATAGACCCGGAAAAAATTTTAAAGTTATGAAAAATTAATATTTCATTAAAATTATTATAAAATAATAATTTATAATAATAATTATAAAAATAAAAATTAAAAAAAAATACAATAATAATAATAATAATAATATCACAAAACTCTTAAAATTATTAAAATTATTATTTTATAATAATTTTAATGAAATAATTAAAATTTTTCATAATTTAAAAATTTTTTCCCGGTCTATTTTTTCCAATTACTTTAAATAAGAGTATAGAATTTTTTTACTTTCACTAATAAATGCATTTTCTACGTTAGACAAGAAAATATTTATTATTTAATTATTTTCTTATAATTGATTTTTTAAAATTTAATTTTATTTAATACTGGAAATCTGGCACAAATAGATTTATATAGATTTTAATAATTACTTTTAATTGTATATAGTCTAATAAAAGAGAAAAAAAATTTTTAAATTAATGAGAGAAAAGTCTCTGCTAAAAGTTTAGAAAAAATTTTCTTTACATCTTTCAATTGGTCACTTTCGTTGATAAAATTTGATTCAAGTTTAAAAAAATAAATATCGTTTAAAAAAAGTTGATGCATAAAATTAATTCATGTAAATTTTATCATAAAATATTCCTAGCTTTTTTCTTTTTTTTTTTGTATCTTCCATTCTTTTTAGTAAGATATTAAAAGTTTAGTATATATTTTGGTCAATCAATAAATTTTAATTATCTTTCCAAAGTGAATTAATTCGACTAGGGTTGGTAGAAAATGTTTGGAGTTCTGGACTAGAAGATCTCGAGGACGTGGGAGTATTCATATTTAAACAGTCATTAATATGATCTGATTTTTCACTATCAATAATTGGAGTTGTCTGAACATTTGTTGATTGTTCGTCATTTCTCATTGCACAGATAACGTCTGTCAGTGCAACAATATAATTTTTAGCAAGCGTCAATGTTTCTATTTTAGACAAACGTCGTTCTTTACTAACATGAGGTATGACTTCTCGCAAGCTCTAAAATTAATATAAAAAAAATAATAATATGAAATATAACAATTGATTTAATTCCCAACAGGGATATAATAATAAATTTAGAACCTGAAACGCGTTGTTAAGACTGTGCATCCTCATTCGTTCTCTCTCGTTACTTTCTAATCTCCTGAGAGTTCTCTCCCTAGGTGTATACCCGCGAGAAGATGACTTCAAGCTTGTTAAATTATTATTAAACCTTTCAATCCTTCTCGATGTTTTTCGTAGTGCTGAAACAGTTTTATTACTCGACTGGTCTTCTAAATTCCAATCTTTGTCCAAGCTGTCTTCGTTTGTCATTTCTGACCGCATGTTGTAGAAATAATACACTGGCGTCTGAAAATTAAAAATTTAATAAATTTTAATTTAAATAATAACTAGCAACCTTGCAGTCACTATGTGACTGCCGTAACTTGTAATACAAGAATAAATAAAATTTTGCTATATTAAATAATGAATTTTGTTAAATTGCACTGTACTTTCCTAACTATTGACATTTATAAAGATATAAGCTCATTTTGATGTTACACTCATCAAGAGCTTTCATTTGAATACGTACATGAATTTTTGATATATTTTTCATATATACATATATATAATACATATAAATATATGAAAAATTGATGTGGGTACTCTAATGAAAGGTCTCAATGAGTGTAACATCGGGATGATTTTATATCTTTACAAATGTCAATGGTTCACGAGATATTTGTTAAAATGCCCTGTACTTTCTTAAATATTGACATTTTTTAAAATATAAGCTCATTCTGATGTTATACACATCAAGAGTTTTCATTTGAGTACCCACATGCATTTTTGATATATTTTTCATATATACATATATATAATATATATAAATATATGAAAAATTGATGTGGGTACTTAAATTGAAGGTCTCGATGAGTGTAACATTAGGATGAACTTATATCTTTAAAAATGTCAATGGTTGACAAGATACAAGGTCATTTTTTAATTATTGACATTTTTAAAGATATAATCTCATCCCGACGTGACACTCATTAAGAGCTTTTATTTGAGTACCCACATGCATTTTGATATATTTTTCATATAAACATATATATAATATTTATAAATATATAAAATATATGAAAAATTGATGTGGGTACTCAAATGAAAGGTCTTGATGAGTATAACATCAGGATGAGCTTATATCTTTAAAAATGTCATTAGTTCACAAAAAAGTATGCAATTTAACAAAAGTAATTATTTAACTAACCAAAATTTTATTTATTTATAGTTCAAAAGTCACGGCAGTCACATAGTGACTGCAAGGTTGCTAGTACT